GAGTGATATCACTCTAGGTGTTAGAATTGTTAAGTGTCTCACCAGACTTAGCATCTGATACTTGGGTGTGTTTGTGTTTATTCTTTGTCATTTTAATTGATGTCATCAAAGTAATAACAGAAAAAGGAAAGAATGAAAGAAAGAAAGAAAGAAAGAAAGAAAGAAAGAAAGAAAGAAAGAAAGAAAAAAGAAAGGAAAAAAAGAAAGATGGACTATATTTGCTTTGTTCTTTAAAACTTCTTAGGCCTTTTTATAAATTCACAGGCGTCTCCCTCTACACGGCAACCATTCTAAGAACCAACAGCTTCTTCAGAAGTTGTTAAAAATTCCTTCTCTATGTTGATATCATGAAAATCACATCATCACATGAGCTTGCATTCATTTCATTTTAATCATATTTCCTGATTTTATCAGGCCTACTGCCTAATTACTTTATTTCATTAATGTGTGTTTATCTATAACGAGATTCGGAAATTGTTTAACAGATTCAGAGTCATAGAGGAGCACTGTGAGACACTGTAGAATATCCATTATTTGTTTGACTACATAGGAATAAAAATACCTAGTTCCTAAGAAGGCCTATCCTGTTATAGTAGACTATCAGATTCTGAGGCATGTGTATTATATTGGTATAAACACTGGAGCTTGGACAGACAGGCAGACAAGATTCGTTGACCTGAAGTGTGGTTTCACATGCTAGAAGCTGAGGCAGGAAGATTGTGTGGGGCCAGCCTGAGTTGTACAATAAGACTCTGTTCCCAGAAACAAAGGAAAACACAAAGATCTGGGTGTCTGTTGGTGGTAAGGCTTGAAAGCAACTTAGCATGTTTTTCTGGTACAACTCTTTATCCTTGATGCCTGCAAAGTAGTTTTGTGGCAGTAAAACTAAAATCTCTTTCAAGATTGAAAGGTGTACATATTTTCTTAAGAAGCATCTTTTCTTACTGAAAATTAAATTATGAAGTCATGAAAAATATTATGTGTTATAACCTTCGACTTTAAAGTAAGTTCAGAGTGAAAAGGAAGTAATGTAGATGAAATATTTTGAAAAATATTTCTCAGAAAAATAATCTTAAGGAAATGGTTTGACACAAAGAACTAGGATTATCATCATCAAAAATAATGATTTCTGTTTTCTGAATGGCTAAACATGTCTTTATTGGTTTTCTCCTTCTTTTATAAACAAATTAACAGAGAAGAAAATCACGATATTCTGACCTTGACTTTGAGGTAAGTCCTTATGAATTATTTTTTAATTTTAATTATTTGATTCAAAATTGGTGTGCTACTACTTTAACACATTACTTCATGTAACTTTGTGGATATAGTACTATATTATTTAAGTAAGTCAAGTTTTATAAAATTAGGATCCTGGAAAGATACATTCAGTCGAATGATTTAGAGTTCTAATTACTCCAAGAGAATCAGATTTTTCTGGACAAGTAAAGATCTACTTTGTAAAAGCTAGAAGTGGGGAACTTGCGGTGGAAAGTGCATTAGTCAATTCAGTTTGTGGGGATGTGGGAATTTCAGGTTCCGATTTTTATACCTGGTTTTATTCCTAATTTTACTTCAGTGACAACCTAGAGTAATCCCACTGGGACTGGAATTCTTTATCTGGTTAGCAAGGCATTTTCAGAGACTTGCTTATATTATGCTCTGATGGGTATTTAGGCTCTCTGTGATACATTCAGATTCATTTTTTCCCAAAAGCAAGTGTTGGTTCTATGTGCTCATATGTTCAGTAAATGTCTTTTCACAGATATAAACAAGATGAAGATTTGCATTTTCCAATTTACATTGAATTTATATTGATGTTGTAATATTGGTGCTGGAAGTTACTAAAATCATACTGTCTAAACAGCTTATGCTAAACCAAAAAATAATGATGTTTAAGGATCACATAAATGCACCTCTGCATCTTGATAATTGGATATGATTCATAGCCTGCTGACGTAATTGGGTATAATATATTATAAATTTCTCTGGCATATTTGTACCCTTGTGATACATACATAGAACTCAATATTCTTAACTGATATATGTGAAATTACAGAATCCTCCTGGAGTATGGAAACTTCTCATTTAATCATTTCATTTTTGTAGGTGAATGTTGTACATATAGAATGCACAACATGTATTAAATTTGAGACTTAGTGATTTTATCTGTCAGAATGGTGAACACAGAAAAGTGTCCAAGGAAAATCATTTTGTTAAATGGCAATTCAGACTATAAGCTATAAAATAATCATATAGAGTCCAGCCTCCATACTTAGGTCACAAATATTGATGCAGCTCCATTGTAGTGACTTAGCACACGATATATTTTATTGTAGCCTAAAGTTTAGCATAAAAGTATGAAGACAATCAAAAACCAAATAAAAGTATTTAGCAATCTTTACATTTGAAGTCTATAGTGTCCTTTAAGGAACAAATACTTTAAGGCTGTTGACTGCTAATCTTTTAGTTATCCAAAGACTAAAGAACTAAACTCTCTCTCTCTCTCTCTCTCTCTCTCTCTCTCTCTCTCTGTGTGTGTGTGTGTGTGTGTGATATACAGTGTGGCTTTTCATTTTGAATATCTAAACTGTGTCTCTGTCTCTGTTACTGTCTCCCTGTCTCTTTCTGTCTCTCCGTCTCTCTCTGCCCCTCTCTGTCTATCTCTGTCTCTGTCTCTGTCTCTGTCTCTCTCTCTCTATCTGTCATTCTATGTGTGTGTGTTTGTGTGTGTGTGTGTGTGTGTGTGTGTGTGTGTATCTAGACTTGGAACCAGTAAGTTATGTTATCACAAAAGAAATAAGATACAAATTAACCCTCTAGGTTTCAGTGACAAAATACAGTAAAAACCTAGATCTAAAATCAGCCTCAGTACAACCAACCAGTTATGTAATAGCAAGCACTGAAAAGGAATCTAATCATACTGTGTCACTGGGAACATTATAAAAATGGTTCTTTTTTTTTCGTCTATTCTCTATGGCAACGGCTAGCAGCTTCCTTAAACAGATACTTACTATGCCTGTGCTCCACACATAAAACCATAGTGTTAACAAAGATATGTTAATGGAGGAAAAACTGCAACATAAGAATCATATGCTTTCCTTAGCTTTTTAATTGCTATAGTTAGTGAATGATTACTGTAGGTATTGAAACTTCCAGGGAAAACACTGAAACTTTACTTTTCCTTATTGACCATTTGGTGTTACTCCCCTTTCATCACATGTAATTATAGGAATATGGCAGGATTACATAAAAATTTTGCCACATTTAAATATTCATGATGTTTAGAAGATGTATTTGTAACTTGGGTTGGTCATTGGAGAACAAGCTAACTACCTGTCCCTTTCCTAAATTCAGGCAAGATCGACTGACTTTAAGTCAAGATCCCTGTTGCCCTCTTCGATGAGAGACTTTGCCATACAATGATCAACTTAGACTTTGCCCTTGAGAGGCTGCCTCCTGAAACCCTTGTCCCTTCAAACTTTCAGCCTTACACTCCCCAAGGCTTATCTAAACATTAATATTCCATTAATTCATTTTCCTAAAAACACGAGAGTTTCTTAAAAACTTAAAAATAGTTCTGTAATATGGTCCAGCTCTACCACTACTGGGCATATATCCAAAGGACTATATAGCCTCCTATAGAGGTACCTGCACAGCCATGTTTATTGTTGCTTTATTCACGATAGCGAAGAAATGGAACCAGCTGTTATGTCTATGAACAGAAGAGTGGATAATGAAAATGTGATACACATACACTTTTTGTTAAAGCCATAAGGAAAAATGAAATTATGAGATATTCCAGAAAATGAATGGATCTGGAAAACATTAAGTGAGGTGACCAAGATGCAGAAAGATATGAATCACATGCTCTCTCATATGCAGATTCTACCTTTTAACATTTGCATAGATGTAAATAAAGGGACATGAGAGTGAGTACAGACTGTGCAAGTAGATATAGGAGACCCTAAGCGGGAACGAGGTGCTGCAGAGATGTTTTCTGTGAAAGCAGGAAGATGGAAAGAGGTGAAGGGAAATGGGGGTGAAGTGAGGGGAGAGAAGCAACTAGAACAAATTTCATCTGAAAATGTCATACTGAAACATAATTACTGTATACTGATAAAAAAATAATTTTTAAAACATCTGTGGTTAGTTAACATAGTTGGGGAAAAGGCCTTTCAAGTAGCTGAGCTCCAGGGTAACACTCTAGTCCTGAACAAATCCAACAAGAGAGAGAATAGTCATAGAGTGGCAATGCACTAATTCCTGCTCTCTAGAAAGTGTACAGAAAATGGGGCTGGAGAGGTGGGTCAGTGGTTAAGAACACTGGTTGTTCTTGCAGAAGACCTGGGTTTGAATCCCAGCACCCACATGGCAGCTAACAACTGTCTGTAACTCCAGTCCCAGGGGAACCGATAGTCTCTTCTGACCTCCGCAGGCATTGCACGACACGGGTGCACTTACTTACGTGCAGGCAATACATGCATACACATAAAATAAAAATAATAAATAAAATATTTTTAAAATTGTACAGAAAATATGGCGATGCTGTTTCTATGTTCTATGACCAAACATCTTGCTTAATTGGTATTCCTAGCTTCTAGCAGAGACCTTGAGAGACCGTGAACATGCATTAAGTTTTTGGTTAAATGAATGATTAAAACACAATTATTTTTCAATGGAGGTTGCTTTAACAAAAAGCAGAAGTATTGCTTGAACAATACTTGAGTTAAGGTAGAGACTAGTACAGAAAGTAAACAACTGTGAAGGTAGCACTTCAAAGGTAACCACATTGGACTGCAAAGATAGCCACATCAAATATAAACCAAGGAGACAAATACAGCAAGTAGAAATTTCCAGGGGGAAGAAAAGTCATAGAGGTTTGCTAATGTGTGGGATTCGCAAGAACAAGAAGCAAGTTAGAATCCACTTAAACAGGGGTCTATGGAAAAAGAATAAACAGAGGAAGTAACTTAGAATCCATGCCTTATACGCCAGGGGAAATTTTTAACCTAATAAGCTACTAAAACTGCAAAGCCTGTTAGACTATTTTGTTTAGCCTTTCTGTTTGCTTCCCGTTGAGGAATTATTCACTACGGTCTGGCAAATAATGAAAAAGATGAATATGTTAGATGTTAGAAGACAGATTAAGATAGGGTAAAATAGGAAGTTGGAATGTCAGAAGTGGCAAATCTAGGAACAGAGAACCAAAAACATGAAGATATAGCTAGTTAGGATAAGTTCCTCTATAATGTTGACATGAAGATACCTAAAATTAAGTTAATTAAGAATCCAGTAGCTCACGTTGTCTGCCCTGATAGAGACAAAGCTCAAAGAATCTCTGGAAATACAATTACAGATCACTGTTCTGAAACTGTCATAGGATAATAGTATCTGTTCCATGTTAAAATATATAGAGAGATAATAGTTTAATCTTTTCTTTCAAAAATAGACATAAATCGTGTCTTCCATTGGAATCATGTATCCTTTAAACAGTATCTTTGGATATTTCTCTGAAGGTTTGGAGAAGCCCCACATAGCCACTAAATCCACACTTCATGATGGATTTCATCAGTGATGGGGAGCAGTGAGTAAAGGGAGAAACAAATATAGGATAATGGGACCCACCTCCACAGGACCTGAATTTTTAGTGGAACAATTAGGGGGCACATAGTCAAATAAGATAAAAGTGCTTATAATAATTTCTATCACTAAAAATAAAACTAAAATATAGCATAGAATGTAAAATTTATAATTTCTAAATATAAAACACACTATTTCAAAAAATGTGTTGTCCATTAACAGGCCCCTTCCTGCTTTGTCCCTGCACCCTGTCATCAGGGCATATTCATAGGGCACTTGAATCCATTAGTCAATCAGGGCATATTCATAGGACACTTTTGGAGGGCAAGCAGTTTGAGCAATTTAGTCCCAAACTGTATACGTCTTTCCTATATCATTAAATTTAAACTATTTCAAAATTATATATTTATTGCCAAGTATACTTTTGATTGACACTGACCAAATACAAAACATATATACAATTCATTTGGTTTTCTTAGACCCTTTATATAGTTTCTTGTAAGGGCAAGGTACATATTTATTCAAATAGAAACAAAACCAAAGCATGGACACTGTGGTGTCAGGCATGATTCCTGGGGCTACAGGATCAGTCGTCTAGATCTACTGACACTCTGACCTGGTAATGGTTCAGAAAATCACCACCCTCTCAT